AAGTTATTGCTTTTAGTATAGCAAATGTCTTTCATCTGCTTTCAAAATTGGAAAAAAAAATTTATGTGAACCATCTTCAGAATAATTTTTGTGCATAATTTTGGGCTGTTTTGTGAAGTTCTCTAAGTAAAGCTATATTCCTCACTCTGTCTACCTCACAGCAATCTTTTTTCTTTTATTTTTTTCCCCTAGCACTGTATTTAAGTGAGTTTCTCTCTAGAACAAATGCTTTTATTATGAGTATTTTAGTTATGATTTATTGGGTAAGTTCCAACACAATTTCTCTTGCACTTAAGGTTACAAACTTTAAATTGCAAATCTTAACTCACTGACACTTAAAGGACATTTCAATAAAATTTTTAAAATTAATCTATAAGCTAAACTATCTAAAGACTGTCCATTTTTCATAAAGAGAAAGCTAAAAGGTAGAGCAGTTTCCAAAGTTACTGATCAAACATCACCTTTCAGAGGTCAACCTCTAAAGGATATTTTAAATGATACAATTTTCTTTCTGGAAAGGATCCCCTTTTCAGATAATATTTGAAGGAAAAAGAAACTTCCAGAAAAAAGAATCCCCACTCTAAATTGCATTTTTTTTTAACAGCGGTAGATTTAAAGTACTTGTCTGAAACTAGATTTTTGAATCTTAATTAATTTATTGGTTTGCTTTTTCTTTCTACCAGCAAACTGACTCATCTGTAAAGTATGAATGTTTTAATTCAAGTACATGTTTTCTGCAGATGGAGGTTCATGTGTTTAAGCAGTCAGAAGGTAATCAGAGGATGACCTGTAATCTTGCATTACAGAGGTAGAATCAGAAAGCACCAGGGACATGACTTGATTTCTCAGTTTTTCTTTTCCTCTATCTAGTGATAGATATTTAAGAAATTTGCCAGTTTTACCCTGCAGAAACTAATAATATAATTACTATCATAAGAATTATATATTTTTCCAAGATTCATTTAGCATCCACTATGTGACAGGTGCCTTACACAGGTTTTTCAACCTAATTTTCCTGAGAACAGTGAAGTAGGTTCGAAAATAGTTTTCATGGAGGTTTAAAGAGCTGACATTACAGAGATGGTGTGTATGTGGATAACTGCTTTTCATCTCTACAGTTTTTCTATTATCTGTATAATTTACCCTAGAGCAGAAAAGGACACAGTATCTTATCCACTCCCCTCTGTTGTCAGGCGTCATCCAGCGTTTACTAGACTACTTCCTGCGATGCAGGGCTCACACCCTGAGGCGGGCTGACCATTGCAAAACAGCTTGGTTGACAGAATAGAATTCATTCTATTACAACAGAAGCCCGTCCAATACGTTTGCCCGTTGTCTTTCTTCTGCATTCTGTTACAACACAATTAGTCAAATCTTCCTCCATGTTATTCCTTCAGCTGTCTGAGGACACTACTGATATCCTAAATTGATTTCTCCTCTGGGCGAACATTTCCAGTTCTTCGCTTCATGGTCCTTCATGGTGAAATCAGAATAAGCTACAATAGACCATACAAAATCTGAGCCAGTTTAAATAAAACAGTATTGAACTTGGGCACTATATTTTTTTTAAATGTAAACTCAGTTGAGAGCATGTGCATGTGTCTGTGTGCCTGAATTATGTAAGTTGAGAATCACGTAGAAAAATAAATGGCAACATAGATTTCTAGGAACTGGATCACCACCCTGTACTAATGTAACTGACTTTTTGAACCCCATATAAACCTTTACATCTTTTGTATAAGTTTATACACCCCGACTTGGTCAGTCAGTATATTTTTTAATTTGTTTCCATCAGTTGACGCTTGAATCCTCTCTTCCTTCCTCCCATCTTTCTGACAACATTACATTTCATAGAAATGTTTTTTTTTTCCATATTGTCAGTGAAGTAATTGATGTAAAAGTCAAACTGAAAACAAATTCCCAGAACATGACCCCATGGACTTTCCCCTGGGCCGCCTCCAAGTCAGCGCATCTGATTGGCTGTCATTTAGGGTTCCTTGCATTACCCTGAACCTTCTGGAAAAAATGGGGGCTGCCCCCAAGGCCTCTGCCTGTCTGCAGACACCACTGAGGCAATCTTTTTCTTGTGATCTTTAATTGTTTTGGTTTTGTTTTAAAGTCACATCTGGATGTGAGACTTCACGCCATTGTTTTGCCATATCCTTTGTTCTAGGCACTCTCTGTGTGATACTTATCTTTGGTTTTACAGCTGATTTGTTCACACATTACTAATTCATAGGTTAAGTAAAATACACAAAAAACATACTCATTTTCTACGTATATTCAGAAGGGCAGACGGGGTACTATGCACTCTTATGAATATACCAAAGACTTGCTCCCTGGGGTTTCCTTTTAAAGCTGAGTTCAACCAATTGACCATGCGTAGACACAAAGATTCTTCAGATTCCTCCCTCTTTTCTTTCTCAAAGAGATTCTAAGAATTTGCTAGATGGTGCCTCAAGGCTCTGATTTTACTCATTTTCACTCACTGTTTGGCTCCTAAAAGGGGCTCAGTGCAGGTTGGTGGATCTCAGCCTCATTGAATTCTGATCACTTGCGAATGTCTTCATCAGAATTTCACTTCTCAATCCTTCTATTCTTCTTGTTTCTTCCTTTTCAGAACTACTACCCTTGGAAAGACACCTGCTTTTTGCTTCCTTGCTTTTAAAACCTTGTGTTTTACAGGTGGGAGTTCATTTGCCTTCGCTTGATATCCCCTTTCTTTGTGACCATCACACCCGGTGTGACCCTGTATTGTCCACAGAATCCCAACACTTCCAAGTCACCAAAAACATTTTTTCTGGATACTCAAAATTAAAGACCATTATAAATAAGCTCAAGAACCTGAAGATATGATAGTTTCAACCACATCCATAGTAACTAATACCAACAAGCAAATGAACAATTAAATTCAAAGGGGCTGTTTTGAACGCCTATTTTCTCTTTTAAACCAGAAAGATAGCTCTAACACCTCCTGAGTGCCTCTTCTCTGCCTCTGCCAAGCACCATCATAGATATGTTCATATAAGTTACCTTTAAAGTATATGAAAGACATTCTGACCATCTGTTGTTTTAAATAAATTGTTATGTTCCAGAGGCTCATTGAAGAGATGAGAGATTGATCAAAAACATGAGTAGAATGAAATTGGATTCTCCTTTTGAGCATTCCAAGCGACTTGATTGATTTAAATTTTAAGTAAATTTTGTTTCTATAAATACTTACACGTGATCAGTGCTCATTCAATGACAAAGGTGAGTTAAAACAAACAAACAAGAAACCCCAAAATTTTTATTTCCTTTTTTTTGCCGTGACCAGAAGATCAAGTACCAAAATAAAACTATAACGTGTCTCGTGATTGTTGTTAACTGGGTGGAACCAGTATATATCAGAGGTCAAGGAACTTATCCTCATAAGCAATTTTAAGAGCAAAGAGTTTCAGGTTACATCATAAATTCTTAGGTACTCACCCACAACGCATACCTTAGACCTTTCTGAGAACTTTTTCTTGACAGGTGAGTTCTCTGGTTGTAAATAGTAAGGTGTAGTGGACAGAATGCTACACTAAGAGCCAGCGGAACTAGATTCTAGCATTGCCTTGCATGTCATGAGTAGCTTCCACTGGAGGGTATGTTGGATTCATCACAGTAGATCAGTGAGAAGGGTGTGTGAGTCGGGTCTAACAGGACTAAACTTGCTGGGGCAAAGGCCTGATATCTACAATATCATATTTGCATCAGTTTCTTACTGCTGTCATAATTAATCACCACAAACTTGGTGTTAAAGTCACAGAAATGTACTCTCATGTACATTTGGATGCTTAAAGTCCAGAATCAAGGTGCCAGCAGGGCCATGATCCGATTGAGGGCCCTAGAAAGGGCCTTTCCCTTAATTCCAGTGTCTTGTGGTCCCAGGCGTGCCCCAGCTTGTAGCTGAGCTGCATGGCTCCATCTGTCTCTACCAAGCACTGCCTGTTCCTTCACAGGACCCCTTTCTCTGTCTCTGTGTGTCCTTTTCTGCCTCTTATAAAGGCATTTTCATTGGATTTTAGGGCCCACCTTAATCCAGTATGATCTCATCTCCATTCTTAAATATGTCTGCAAAGAACCTATTTCCAAATAATGTTTCAAAATTCTATTTATTTCCAAATTCTAGGTTCCAAGTAGACATGAATTTGGGGGGATGCTCTTCAGCTGGCCACAGTATCTGTGGATACGTGGTGGCTCTTGGTTTGGGTCAATTTTCAAGTCATTTATTGATCCGTGATTCATTCATTCATTCAACAAAGATTTATTAAAAGCCTGTTCTATGGCACCCTCATCTAGGGATGAGGATACTGCCCACAAACAAACATGAACCAGACCTTTGTGGAGCTTACAGTCTAGAAACATCCAAAGGAGTCCCCTCAGGTGGATGAGACTCTGCTGTACATGTTTTTAAAGTGTTGATCTCCAGAGTTACTTGATCATGCATATTTTTTCAGCATGCACTTCCAAAACAAATTTCTGTTTTTATTTACTATATTATTCTATGAGCTACTTTATTAGCACATAGGTACAGTATACAACACACCCAAATTATGACTTTAAGAAATAAACATAATAAAAATAAATAGAAATTAAAATTCTAATATTGTGTTTCAGATCTTAGTCAGTCATTTAGGCAAGCATCCTCTTTTGCAAGAATGCTATCTAGATACCTGTTGTGTTCTAAGTCTTGAGAGCAATCCATAGTTCTAGATGTGTCTTCTGATTGGAGCAACACCCCAACCAGGACTGAGGATCCAGGAGGCAGGCAGTACCCTCTGGGATATTGAAATGACAAGTGATATACTGGTGTCCCTCAATCAAAGAAGGTACTCAGGCAAAGCTTCACACAGAAGGAATGGAATGCAAATAAGGGCAGGAGCCCAGCTGTAAGGGTTTAATGATCATGGCAATGGTTGGGAGAAATCTGAAGTTTATGGATTTGCCAGTACTTGGGTCTATGTTAGGCAACTGGTTCTTGGATTCTGGACAGAGCTCCCAATTTGCTGTCAACATTAGTTAGGCATGGCTTGGGATTTGGATGAGGCTGAACCTAGGGAGTGAATTCTTCTGTGTTTGAAACTGGGAAGACAAGGAAAAGCAAGGGCTGACACCATTCCTGCCTATGACTAACTTGCTGATTTTATAAGAGAAATTCAATTGCATTAAGCCTTATTTAGCCCAGCAAAATGAAGGTGATTACACTATTTGAAATCAGGGTCTTGGAACTAGAAACTTTTTGTCATTTCTTCCAGAAATAGGACACACCATTGTATGATCCCGGTGTTTTTCAGTAAGTTAAATGTTTGCAAAGGAAGGGACTGTTGACTATTCTAATGAAGACCGTTAAAATATCATACTCAAAGTTGAAGGAGGAACATTTTCAAGTAAGTTTATTTATTCATGGATTCAGAAGTGTCATGGAGAGCATGAAGCTGTGATATGTTTTCCTAAAGAGGTGTGGTTGATTCATAAGTGAATATCTTTGAGGGAACTTGATAGAACCAGCAGAGATGTGCAAGCCTTTATTAACTTTATGTTGTCTGATTGGGGGCAATGCTGGGACAGTCCTGTGTATTCAGAGGGGGAAGTAGATTTACTGAGACCAATAAGGTAACCAATAGGTGTTTATTTAAAATTGTCAGTGAGGGGAGGGTATAACTCAATGGTAGAGCGTGCATGCTCTACTAAGTTAGCGTGCATGAGGTCCTGGGTTCAATCTCCAGTACCTCCATTTAAACAAACAAACAAACAAACAAACAAACCTAATTACCTCTCCCCCCAAAAATTAAAAAATAATAAAATAAAATAGGCAATAAAGACATGTATAACCTTAGTGGTTAGAAGAATTTGATTCTCATCTTTTATTTTTGAGGTTACCCATTTCAATATACATTTGAAAATATTTTCTGCTCATTTTGAATTCTTGTGTTAATTCTTTAAAAACGATCAACAGAAACTCGGCTGTAACATTGTATTGACATTGTGTTGCTTATTTTAAATAAGAATTAAAATACCTATGTACTTCTGGGTAATTTTGTTCAACAAAAATTATAGGATCATTCAAGTTGAATGATCAGTGGATTGGACATTGAAAGGTTCTGCCCTCAGCTCAGCTGTTCACTGGACTCATACCTTCTGTTTTTCAGGTAAAGTCCCTTGCCCTCTCTGAGAGTCTTTTTCCCTTTATTTTAAAGTAAAGGGACCAGAAATGGATTTTCTCTAAGTTTCTTGATAAAAACATTCTGTAACTCTGTGAGTTACTAGTAGGCTCTCAGGGTTATACTAAGTGCTTCCACCTGGCTCAGTTGGACAATTATCTTTCCATTAATGCTTTTCTAACTACTCTGTACCTCTGGGAAAGTCACCTGTTCTCTTTTTAATGTCCTTACTTGGTTCTCTCTGTATTTGAACCATACCATGTGGATCAGTCAGGGTTCAGTGCAAGATTAGAAAATAGTAGTGGTTTCAAGCAATGTTTAAATCAGGTAATTGGATGCTCATAGGGTAGGTGGAAGAGAAGTTAGAAGGCCACTACTGAACTATTGACTTGAAGGTCACGCCACCAAAGCTGCTACCTAGAGGTCAGAAAATGGTGCTGCTGCCACACTTTCTCCCATGACCATAAAGCTGATGACTGGGTTCTGGGGTGTGGAGTCTAGTCACCACAAACACGTTTGTATGATCTTGCCTTGACAGTATCAACAAAGGCAGGACAATGGCTGTCACATCACGTTCATTTTAAACCATCATTCAAGTGCATCTGGTGAGTCCTCGTTCAGATTTAGAGACAGCTTCAAGCACATATGGGGAACATAGGTATCGCCTTTTCAATCCCTTCCCATAGAATGAGGGTGGGGTTGTGCTTAGGAGGGCTAACTCAAATGTCTACCATAGTATGTGTAATGATTGACTTTTTGAACTAATTTATTTATGGAACTTCCTACCGGACTGTAAGCCCCTCAAGGGCAGGGGCCATGTCTTATTAATACAAATACCAATAAATCAGGGAGGAGGCAGATCTTGAAAGGATTTTAGTCCATTCAGAAAACATATATCCACAATAAACAATGGGAAAGAACTAAGCAAAGCTATATGATGGGCTAGTAAAGTCTAATTGAGAGGCCAGTGAAGGCAGGAGTGGTCAGGAAATCTTAAGAAAAGATACAGATCACAGCATGAATTTGAAGAATGGTAGAATTTGGATGGACCCCAAGACAAAGATAAGATGTTCCTATTAAGAGAATCCAGTAGTTGGCACCATGGGTACTGGGAGCTATCTCTTCTCAGTCAGAAAGTTTCTCACATACAAAAATAGTTTTCAATTATTTGTAATTCATTTAGTGAATATTTATTAAGTGGCTAACATATATGCCATCTATATTTTTCAGAGGCTGGGGATATAACAATGAATAAAACAGAAAACAGGAAAAAAAATGCGATAAGAGAAGTATCAAACTTCAGTAGAGAGAGCAAATATTTTCAGATGTTGTTTGATACTGGCTTTTATATTTTGAAATAGTTTGTGTGATTGAATAATTTTCTTGCTCCTTTTTTTCTTACACGTGTAGTTCAGATGGTTCCTAGTATGCTTGGCAACATAGACATTCTCATATAGACTCTGCCAGATGGCCTGCTCATTGTCTAAATGCCTACTAGTTACATCATGCTATAATAGATGTTAACACAGTTGTGGAGAGGAGGGTAATGATAGATCCATTAAGTAAGGGATATAGAGTGTTGGTCCGTTTGTTCCCCACCCCAACCCCTACCTTTTGGAAAACATGAGTTAAACAAAGAATATAGTAAGTAAGTGTGCTACGAAGAATGTTTAATTTGGGGCTTCTGGAAAGATATTGTTCAAAGTGAAAATAAAACCTTTCTAGAGAATGCTAAAATGAGTTCAGACTCATATCTGTCTTCCATAAATATATCTGCCCAATCTGTCAATGTTCTTGTATAGTAAGACCAAATGCATTGTCCTGACCGTCAGTGCCCTGTGCCTTACCTTATCTAGATTGTAATCCCTTTGATGGCAGCAACCGTATAAACTCTGTAAATGCCACCTCGACTTCTCCTTTACTTTGCCTACCTGCAAACTCACTGGTCATTTGTCTGCTTATGTCATATTCTTGTGTGATCATTCTGTATGTACTTCTCATCACTTTATTTCTATTGAACAGACTATTCCAAACCACCTACACACTTGAAAAACGTCTCCCTACATTTCTAATCGTTTATAAAAATGCTAAACAAAATTTGTTTCCTAGGGCAAATTCCTAGGTGGAAGACTGTTTATCCAATCGGAGGAGTGACATTTGTCTTAACCTTAGAAAGGATAATCCCAGGATGATGCGTGTATGTGTGTTTTAGATTCTGCTTTTGTCACCAAGTGTTTGAAGCAAATTAGTTATGGCAGTATTGAATCATATTTTCTGGTTATCACCATTTCTGATATGTAATCTGCTTTTATTTTAGAAAGAAATTTTTATAATAGAAAACATACAAAATAAAGAGAAATTGAGTTACCAAAGAGTCCAAACAACAAAGATAACTAGTGTTATTATTTTAATATATTTCTTTCTGGTCTTCTCAGGTAGCTCTGATATAAAAGAATGAAATAGCTGTATGTATTCTTATAGCATTTTTTTTAGATTGACTACAATGGTGCCCTTCCTCCTGTAGGTTATTTTTAGACATTCTACCTTGTTTATTATGGCTCCCACTCAGAGCCGTTTCTGGTTTGTAGCAATTGGGATCATCACTCCAGACTTTGTGCTCTGGGAAGCTCCATAATTCAGTGAACAAATTCCTGAAACTTCTGGGAAATAACTGGAGGAGAATAAGGAGATATGTATGCCAAATGGGGGTTAAAATTACACTCCTGTGGTGACATTCAGAAGATGTACTTCAGGTGTGTTGGGAATGTCAGGGAAGACGGGACTTTGAGTTCCTTTTGTTAACTTATTTTTCCCCTGCTTCTCAGTCCTTAAGTTTCAGGTGATCATTTTGGGAAATAGTGTCTTCTTTTCCTTCCAGGTGCCATTGATACTGCTTTCAGTCTGATTCAGTTGAATATATTTAAGAGAATGTTTCTGCAGGGTGGGCATATAAAATACTGCTTTCCAGGGATCCTACATGCCCCTAGTGTGGGCTTGGTTCTATCAGCTTATGATTCCATCAGATAATACTCATCTTCTGCATCCTCGAAACTTTCTCTGGTGATGTTCACATGCAACGGAGACGTGATCATTGGTTATGCACCCAGCTTCAGGCCCTGTGGCCATCTCTGCCAAGGTATATATTATGATCACTGACTCTATCCCTAAAGTTTTTCTAAAGACCTATGACTTATTTCTTTCATATTTATCACTCAGTCTAGAACATATGTGTGCATTTTCTGATGTGAGAACTATGATTATTAGCTTATGTAGTAGATTGTTTGCAAAGAAAGCACAATTATTCTTCTCATTCTCGTATGTAAACCTCTTTGCAATGTGGCTTGGCGGCTTCTCCCATTAAGTTAAGGAATTTACTTCTCCCCATCCTCGAATATGGGCTTGGCATGTGACCTGCGTGGGCCAATAGGCTACTAGCAAAGTTGTGCAAACAGAGGCTTGAAAAATGTTTGCACATTGTGGCTTGCTGTTGCCATGTGAACGAACTGGATTCTTCTCCTTGAGGATGAGAGAGAATGTGGAGAGAGGACCAGCTGTCCCAGACCAGCTCAGCCCCAGACATCCAAGAGAGGCCATCCTAAACTTTCCAGCACCCAGGGAGCCAATCCCAAACAGAACTGCCCAGTCAACCCACAGAATCATGGTTAGCAAATAAACATTTGTTTTATTTCCACCAGTTTCTTATGGGAGTGGTTTACTACATGGTAAAACTGAACTGGTATAGAAATTGGCACTAGAAGTGATGACTGCTATAACTAAACTCAAAACCTGTAGCAATAGCTTTGGGGTCAGACAGCAAATGGAGGCTGAAAAAGCAGTGAGGAAACTGCGGGCAAAGTTGAGAAAAAGGCAAATGAGCTGTTAGTAGATGCTAGCAAAGTGGTGAGGAAACAGCAATAGCCAGCTAAAAAAGATGGTGATCCATGTTTTTTAGCTGCAAAACAATTGACAGAGCTGTCACAGGATAAAAAAAAATGTACCCAAGACACTTGTAGATATGCCTAAGATTTTTTGGCCAGTGGTTAAAGTGTCCATTGGCTGCTCGTGATATGATCCTGTGAGAGAAAGATGAGCTAAAGAAAGATCGATTTGGCGAGCGGAATTTAGAGATGTGCGGGGAAGCCAAATTTGGGGGGGTTGGGGTGGAAAATAAAACTGTTTTTCATCTCTAGTCTCTCTGCACAGCAAATATTCTCAAATAAGAAATGACTTCTTATTTGGTAAATCGAGGGTAGAGCTCTCAGATCCTTTATGAAGACCTCTGGAAGATCTCAGGTGGTGGCTAATAGAATCTTTCAGCTGCGCAGAGGGCTTTTAGGGAGTTTAAGGGTATTTCCCCGCGACAGCCTGACATTGTGCCCAGAGGGGTGTCTGTTTCCAGAGAAGCTGTGGATGTAGCATTTAGGGCATGGAGTAGACTTGAGTCTGTTCATGGGGGGAACTCATAAAATGGTGCAAGCCTTGCAAGATTTTGCTACAAAGAAGAGAAATAGCTCAGAACCCAAGGAGGTCTCTGGGCTCCAACTTCCTATGGATGGGACTCCGTCTTCCAGAAGGAATAGCCAACGCAGCACAGGACAGTGGACTTGGGGACCGTTCTTGGGGACCATGCCCTGCTTGAGGAGTTGAGCCCTTGCTTATATTTGCTTGTTAGGACTTCACAACAGCTCTGAACTAGTGTGACTGCTCTTTAATTCTGTCCTCATTGTGAGTGGGACTGTCCGTTGCTGTTACCTAACCCCTCTCATTATTATATGTTGTGTGTGTGAGTGTGAAGTAGATGGGTGACTTTAGTGTATAAGTCTTTGGATAAAGAGGAGCCACACCTATGGAGCAGCACCTGAAGCTCTTCATCTCTGTCAGGACCTGATTTAGAGGAAGATCCTGTACTTCAAGGCTGATGCCATAATAAGATATGACTTTGGGCAAAGAGAGAGAATGTATTTTGCATGTGGGAGGAAGGTTTATTTTGTGGCCAGAGAGCACATTGTGTTGGATTGTTTCTGGAGATGGCCACAATGATTCCTTCCTTAAGTACACACCTCTTCGTATTGTGACATTGCCATTCTTCCCCAGAGGTGGAATCTTATTCTTGCTCTTTTGATCTGGGCATGGCCAAGTGACTTGCTTAGGCCAATGAGACTTGAGGAAATAAGACAGAAGCCCAGGTTTGTAAATGGCTTGTCCATTATGATCTGCTGTGAATAGCTGCTCAATCATGTCACCCTTAGACAAGGATGCAACAGTCCTTCACTAGCTGCTGGAGAGACCACATGGAGGAGAACCAGGGAGAAAAAGTCAGGATTGCCAGACTGGCGAGTGAGGCCCATCTTGACATCCAGCTTCAGTGGAGCCACCAGCTGCTGCAGCCATTTGAGTGAGACCCCTGAAGAACAGCCCAACGGATCCCAGCCCAGAGAGCCCAGCCATTGAATCATCATCTCCCAAGGAACTGTTGTTTGGAGTGGCTACCTTTTGGAGTGGTTTGTTAGGCAGCAAAATTGATCCAGATTCTCTACTTAAAATAAAATTTCAGGGGGAGATCTCCATAAAATATAAAATTACCTTTTGTTTATTAAATGCTGTGACAAATAATCCCCCTCTTTCTTTTTTGCTTTTGCCTTTGCGTGCTCAAGTGCAATCTTCTTATCTTGAATCTCAAGCAGTTCCGTTAATACTCTACCTGCTTTCCTTTCTTTGTTTAAAGACTTTAGTGTTTGATTTTGGATTCCCTTGCAAGGTGCCCTGGTAATTAAGCAGCTTTTGACCTGCTGAATTTTGTTTAAATTTGATCTGTCACATTTATAAGATTCCCACTCTTCTTCCTGGAAAAAATTCTTTTCCTCCCTAAAAAGATTCCCTGCCCTCACTGCCTCCTTTTTAAAAACAGCCTTTTTCCCTTTGCCATTTAGACAGTTAGTGTTTATTTTCAAATGCCTGTTCGTTTTGGGCTGAGTCAAACATTTTTCCTGAGTTTCCAATAAGCTGTTCTTAAACCGTCTCCAGGCTTCTTCATGGTTATTTACTTTCAAAACTATTTCTTTCAGGGTTTTTTTTCCCCCCAGAAAAGTCCCTATTTTGTCATAATTCCCTTTTCTAAAACTTAGTAACTTCATGATGAATACTTTTGGTTTTCCTTTCTTGCCAGAATGTTGGACTTCATCACATGGTAATTGCTGTTAATCAACCGCTCCTTGAGGGACAACATCTCTCTCACGAACATATCCTATGGATGGACAGGGCCATCACCTCCCCCTTTCTGAGGTGGTTGAAAACCACAGCTTGTCTGACTACTGAAAGTGTATCCTTGAGGGAAGTTTCAGATGGAAATGAAGTAGAGAGGGAAATGTTATTTTGTTATTTCCTTTGAACCTTTTCTGATTCCTTAGCCCCCTTCTCTGAGAACATATCTTTATAGCATTTATGTTGCAATTTTTTGCAGAATCATTTTATTTTCCATCCTAGACTCAAGCCATTTGAGAGTAAGATCCAGGTTTCAGTCATCTTTGTACCTCTTGGAGTGAACCCTGCATGTGTGTGGTACATTATAATATTATAAAGATTATATGATAAATATCTAAATAAATGAACAATTAACATATAAATTGATGGGTGAATCCAAGCCATGAGCTGGGTCAAGAACTCCTTTGGTGGAGAAATGGGAAGGTCACACCAAATATGTGGTCCTTCCGAATGAACTTTGTCTCTCCATGGTCATCTAGTTTTGCCTTTCCCCCTTAAAGGAAAGAGAGAAGGTTAAAGAAATAGAAACTCCATAGCAACAAGTATTCTTTTTCCTCATCTCAACCTGTATCCATTGCAGAGCTATCATTTATTGCTCAAAAGGACCTGCTGTACCTAGTTCTTCTGCTGATATTCCTAAAAGGTATAGGAAATCTGGAAGATGGCAGGAGCATAGATTTGGAATCTTTCTG